CACCCGTGAATGAGTAAGGGGTAGTTGTGTAGTTGTTACTCATTCACTAAATACAGTAAAATAAGTAAATAAACACACCACACCATAGTACCAAGTCTTTTATTTGAGAAAAAAAGAACAACACAGTTTAACAAGTCTTTTATTTCAAAAAAGAAAAAGTGTCCATTGATGTAATCCAAAGGTCAATCACGTCGTCCAGCGATATAGATCCACGTCAATCACGATGGACGAGAAAGAAAATATTCCCGTTGCCTACCGCCGACCGATTCTGACACATACAGGCCACAAAATGACAGCTCTGAACCGAATGTCAACAAAGGGGCGGAGCGAATCATGACGTCACAGGACATTTTCCTCTCATTTGTTTACATTCCATTAGGGGACCGAGAGCTGTCACGGAATGTAAACAAATGGGTGGAACAATTCCCCTTAACCTCACTGCTCGCCCCGCCCCTTTGTTGACATGCGGGTCAGAGCTGTCATTTTGCAGCCGGTGTTCGTCGGGATCGGAGGGCAGCGGGAATTTTTTCTTTCAGCGAGACAGCAGCTGTCATTCATCATGATTGACGTGGACCCACATCGCTGGAGGACGTGACTGACATTTGGATTACATCGATGGACACTTGGCAAAAACTGTGTTGTGTTTTTTTTCAAATAAATGACTTTGTACTGCAGTGTGGTGTGTTCATTTACTTATTTTATTGTATTTGGTAAATGATTAGGGGTAACAACTACCCCCTTACTCATTCACAGGGGGAGCGGGATCCGGGTGAGTATAACATTGTTGTTCTGGAACCTAGACCAAAACGATCAGTTAACCCTTGCATTACGGGGTTAGCCCCACTGCAAGGGTTAAAACAAATTGCCCAAAGTTCTTCTTTAAAGTAGTCTCAAGAGGGAAATACTTTTCTGTGGGTTCCTGTTCCAAAGGACCAATTTTTCCTGGTTCAGTTCAATGTGGTGAATTGGCAGATTATCTATGTTGCACATTGTATCATGTCCATGAAGTTTTAAAGCTGATATTCAAAGAGTTGAAATCGGCTACACAGAGCCTGACCACGGTTTTTATTGTCTCTAGTAGGTTTGGGGACCCCGGCACACCCAATATGTAAAAGAAACCCATTGTCGGAAGGGTGGTGTCAGGTCAACTTCAGGGCATAGTTACATACATAGTATTTGAGGTTGAATAAAGACATTAGTCCATCAAGTCCAACCTATTAGGATCTCATTCTAGGAGTACCTGTACCCCTGTATATTACCTGTACCCCTGTATGTTACCTGTACCCCTGTATATTACGGTCCCTTAAGAAATCGTCCAAAAGTTTCTTGAACAATTCCACATTATATGCTGAAATCACCGCCTGTGGCAGTGAGTTCCAGACCCTAACTGATCTTACTGTGAAGAACCCCCTTCGCCCCTTGTGCTGGAATTTTTTTTCCACCAATTTTAGGTGGTGGCCTCTAGTTTTTGTAACGGAGTTAATTTTAAACAGTTTATCGCTA